GAAAGAATTAGATTTTTGTAGCATAATTTGCGTGAGATGAGATCATTTGGGATCACGTGATATGAACGGGCGAATCAGGATGTCAACCATGAAAGCATAGTAAATTCTTAAATTAATGCATTTTTACAAATTTATTGTTCTTATTTATTGGCTTTTTACAAAATTTTAAACGATATTAAAATGTTTATGCCTTCAAAATAAAAAAAATTCTTAGAACTAACATTTGTTAACATTTTTTATGTGCATACTGTATGTTGTCACCAATAAAGTTTGCTTGGTGAGATCGGATAAGTACAGTCAAAAGTCGTTAATTCGGACACCCATAATACGGAATGATCTATAATCCGGACCTCAAAGCTAAAAACTTTCTGCGCATGCGCCGCATTGGCACATGCGCTATGCGCGTAAGACCTTGAATACTACGCATATGCGTGTGTGCGCAAGTGCAGAATACATTTTCGCCTGCGCGTTTAATGTATAACGAACGGTGTAAGCTAAAATTATCTAATAATCTATTTCAGTTAATGTTAATGATTGCGTTGTTCCTTAATCTTCGAATTGGATCCCGCTTATTATTTTTTGCAGACTGTAAGAGCAATTTTATAAAAGTAAACTTGAACTTTCGATTATGTCAAATAGAATTTCCGATGCTGGAACTTCCAAAGGATCTACAAAACGAAAGTATGTTTCGATGTCCAACAAACAAAAGTGGAATTGCTGCAAAAAAATGGATAAAGACATGAAGAATGTGACAGAGAGGTTAGTGAAAACGAAAAAATTTCGATTGACAAGTTAGTCGGTATTCTCGGCACAGCAATTAACGGGACTTGAACAGCGAAACTTTGTAACTGAACAAGAAATTATGTCTGTTTATAGAATTAAAGAGAAAGTATTATCACATAAAACGAAGCAACTTAAACAACTTACATTGAAAGAAATGTTTAATAAAGTAAACAAATAAATATTAAGCTTTTTTTTTTTTTTTGTAAATTTTGATACCCTTTAGATCATAATTGTTCTTTATTTCATAATTAAATACGGTTTCATATTTTTAATTTTAGAATTTTTGCATGCCATCTTACGAGATTTAAACTGATGATCTATAAACCGGAAAAATCGATAATCCAGAATCGCCGAAGTCCCGACAAGTCCGGATTAACGACTTTTGACTGTACCAATTTTATTCAATATTAAACAAAATATTAGTAATTGAATACCAAATAGTATAACCTTTTATGTTGACATTATTGTTGGCAATGATTACAGACTTCAGCTAATTGCACTGTGAAGTACAAAATTTAACATACTTCTTTCTATGTGAAAAAAACAGATTTTTTTAAATACTTATAGGCCAAAAGATTACATTTAGTGATGTTTGAATTGAGAGTAACTGATTTGTTATTTAGATAAACTCAGGACTGGTGCCAGAGCTGGTGTGGCCACACTAGGTGGCAGAATTTAAAAGAATTTAGAAATGCACTGAGCAACAAAATTAAATTATGGCAAAATCTTTAGAATTTAGTGAAGACACTGGGATGCAGAATTGAGGGGTAGCAAATTTTTTAGAATTTAGGACCTGAAGGGGCTGCATCAGTCCTGGATACGTCTTATGTATATGGGAGAATATATTTATTTGGATACAAATAAGCCTTGAGCATGCACAAGAACTAGGCATACAAATAATAAGTAACTAATTTGATACAATTTAAGCCTAACTTAATCAGCATGCAGTATTACGTTTTAAAACTGGTTTCTAAGTGAAGACTTTCTAAGGGGAACTGGCTCGTATACACGTTACACATGGGGAAAACCACAAAAACGCAGGCCAGCTCGTTCGCGGGATTCGAACCTCAAACCAAACTACCTGCGTTCAGCGACTCTACCGCTCGGCGGCTGGTAGGCTTGTTAGCAGAATTACACTGCATTATTATTGTATTAGGCTATAAAGTAACAATGCTATAAGACTGAGGGTTTGTTCATGGAATAATACTTTTGTAACCTATTATAGTATTAAAAAATCATTGTTTCTTTGCAAATTAAAAAAAAAAAAATACTGTTCATAGCATTCTCATTTTTATATTGTAAAAGAAATATTGATTATTATTAGTTTTCTATTTAAAATGTGTTGAAACGCTGGTTTGACAAGGACTTGAACTGCAGGAGGCCTACAGTGATTATTTTTACTTTAGTACTTGCATTGTGAAAATATTACTATCTTTTAATTATTTTCATAGAATAAAATCTTTTGAGAAGGAAGATTATTTAAACTGAGCAGTTCTTATATATATATAAAATTAAAGTAACAGCAATGTAATATTAAAAAAAGGTATTAGTAATTGTGTGACAAAAATTGCAAAACGAATTAATCACACATACAGAGTAGATTAGTTTAATTTTGGTTATATATTTCATGTTGAAAAAACATTTTCTTTCATGTTAATTATAGAATAAATTATTTAATATAAAGCATTTTGATGGGTGTGTGATAGTTGAATGCAGCAGCAATCGGCCATACTGTAATAGCGAATGAATTTTATTTCTTTTTTTTCCTGAAAGAAATAATTTTTTCATAGAAAAAGAAAATAAAAAAAGGAAGAAATATTAAGAAAGAAATATTTTCTTTCTAATTTCTTATTTAAAGAAATATTTTTTCCAATAGTAACTGTAAAATAAATTGCAGGAAAACAGTTTTAATGTAAGCATGAAAAAAAAAAAAAAAAAAAAACAGTTTGCTATTAGATTGTAATGCAAATTAATCATATTATAAATTTAAATGCTTAAAATTGTTTATTTCTAAAAAGGATTTGAAGTAAGCTTAATTTCATTTGCTCTTATATATTCTACTCTTACCATTGCTTTCGTGGTATCCCATATCACTCATTATTTCTTAGGTCTAAATTCCTGCATTAACTTTCCTCTTAAAAAACAGGAAGTTAATCTTTGGATTATGGTAACTTGGTTATTTTTTGGCGAAAATTTGGCAACCAACCCTGCTACAGACAACTGCTAGTTTTTGTTTGGACGCCATTTTGTTTTCACAAAGTACAGGCATTTTTTTTTTTAATTTTTTTTTTACTCAACATTTTTTTCAACAATCTGCTAGCCGAATTACGCTTATGCTAGAACTTTTATGGAACAAAAGTGCTTAATCATGATGAAGATTAGGTGCAAAATTGGGAGAAAATGCAGAATCGCAAACTGCTTGTCGCATTTTTAAGAATTGTACATACACGGTATCCATGTACACGTCGACCTATTTTTGCTTAAAAAAACATCCCAGAATTGCACAAAAATGGCATTGCGCATACTCTTAACTTTATCCATGTACACTGCTAAAGTCTTAGCTAGTAACCATTATCGCCTTACCAAAATGTCACCAAACTACCTGTTACCATATTCCAAAGATTAGCCAAAAGGGATTTTTCTTCACATAACACAGCAGCATATTCTGCTACATGTTGGTCATAATACTGTTTTGTGCAATTTTTTTCGAATTACAAATGCAGCGTGTTAGTGAAATAACGGGAGAATATTCCTAGAACTTCAGCCAGCGCACGCTATAAATTTCATCACTCGTCTGTACTGTGATTGGTCTAAAGCTCCTGAAGCCTTGTCCCCTTTCAGTAAAGTTAAATGGACCCACCCGCCCACCAACTGAGGATCACAGAACGCCTTTCTCCGATAAGTTGTGATGGCTGTCCATACCGGTTTTTTTGAGTCAATGTTGTTCGCTCAAGTTGTAGACAGATCCAGTGATCATAGAATAGGCGTCCAGGTGAAACGGCTGGCTGCATGGTTTGTTTCTGAAGTTGCCCCCAGCATAATATGAATACGAGCTGGCGTCCTTCAGAAAGTTCTCCATGAGTGCATTGCTCCCTCTAGGTAGATAGCTCTCATGAGTTCTGTACATTCAATTAGCCTAACAGGTGCAAAAAATGTTTTGCTCCTAAAAAAGAGATCTATATCTGATCCCCCTCAAAATGATATAGTTTTATTCAAAATTAAAGCTAATTTTAAACTGCTTTTTTGACTAATTTTGAATTCTATGTTGATGTCTCTTCTTTCCAATTAAATCTTAGAATACCCAGAATGATGTGAAAACTAAATATCCATGTTTTGCATTCTTAATAAACGACCAGTTGATTAAAGAACGACATAAATTTGAAAATATTTATGTAGCTTTCTTACTCAAATAATATTTATTTATCATTGTATTATACTGTATATTTCGGAAAAATATCAAACCTCAAAATCTTAATCTCCATGGACGGAAGATTCTACTTTTATATATCTATTTTCATTATATTAATTTAAGTATTTCCTACATAAAATAAAGCACATAAGTTATTTATACGTAATGAGAAATTCACTCTGCCATTAGTAAAACGTACATAATCTTTATAATATTAAATAAAGCTCCCAAAACCTTAAAACAGGGTTATACATATGTCTTACAGCAGACATTAAACAATTTCATTTCTTAATTCAGATCGTACCATTGAATCATACGATATAATTCTTAGAACTTCCACACAACAGATATATTAAAAATACGTTCTATTTACACTTACTTATTTCCTATGTAGTAATAGCATTAACACAACTGCTTCGTGAAGAAACAAACAATTAAGAGTGTTGCCAGATTCAGCACTAATTTTGGAAATTTTACTCATTTTAAACCAGCTGATGTAAGACTTCATGACATCACAATGATTCTGAATAGAAATCAATGAATAAAAATAAGTTCATTGAATACTTATCTTTTTAAAATTAAAAAGCGATAGCTTCTAGCTTGTTGCTGATGTCATTTTAACGTAGATGTGCCTAAAATACTTTTTCGGTAATATATTTTCTGGATACTGTGATTTACTTTTGTTTTTGTTTTTGACGCAATTATGTAATAAAAGATGCATAACATGAAATTATTATGCAGTAGCTTTCTTATGCCTAGTTTTGCATTTTTCTGAATTTATATTTGTGTTTTCTGTACATCTTTACTACTACTCCTACTGCCGGTTTGTTATCATACCGAGGAAATTTTGAAATCATACTTTGAGGAATTAAAAAATAAATAAATAAATGAATTTCTACGTGTTTTGTACAAAACGCATTAAAACTTAGCTTTGTCTTTCTTTCATTTTTTCTTCTTCCCTGCTCGGTAAGCTTTTATATATGCATGAATGTAGTCTTAGATTTCCTAAAGGCACTGTTTTATTGTGTTGAATTGCCGCTAAAAGCACCATTTATCCTTATTATTTTATGTTTCGATTATCGTGTAATGAAATATCTACTTTATAAAGCTTTAGGTAGTAATTTTTTGACAAATTCTCTTCTAAAAAAGAAGGCTTTAGTGTAGAATTGGGTGCCCCTTCGATTGGCAATAAATTTTCTCCAATTGTGGTGTGAAACCCCATTTCTGCTTACCCTGATAGTTTAACTTGTTTTTAGTGTCCTGATTTTTTTAAAGTGAAAATAGATCGATGTGTACATGGACAAAGTCGAGCCAGTGCGCAATGCCTAGTTTGTGCAATTCTCTGAGCACACAAACAAAACAAGAATTGATAAAACTGTTCAAAAGAAGAAGTCAAAGAATTGCATTAATCCATTATCCATATACACATCGATCTATTTTCGCATTAAAAAAAAATCAGAGAATTGCACAAACTAGGCATTGCGCACTGCCTCGACTTTGTCCATGTACACATCGATCTATTTTCACTTAAAAAAAATCAGGACACTAAAAACAAGTTAAACTATCAGGGTAAGCAGAAATGGGGTTTCACGTCAAAATTGAAGAAAATTTGTTGCCAATCGAAGGAACACCCAATTCTACACTAAAGCCCACAATTTCAAGATGGCCGCTACACAAAACCAAAATAAGAAGTCAAAGAATTGCACATCGATCTGTTTTTACTTAAAAAAACATCCTAGAATTGCACAAACTAGGCATTGCGCACTGCTTTAAATATGTCCATGTACACATCAATCTATTTTCATTTAAATAAAATCGGGAAGCTAAAACAAAGTTAAAACTATCATGGTAACCAGAAGTGAGGTTTCATCGGCAAAATTTTTTAAAAAAATTCGCCAATCGAAGGGGCACCCAATTCTACACTAGAGCCAAATTGTGCCTTCCTGGCGCCGATCTTTGCGTCAAAAAAGAATCTCCAATAACAAGGGGCACCCAATTGTAAACTTACACTGTTTTGTGTAGCGGACTTCTTGAAATTGTGCCTTCCTGGCACCAATTTTGGTCTAGACTGGAGATTACGGTCCAGTCGCGAAGTGAAGCGAAATTGTGCTAAATCTGGCAACCTCTTGGCTTAAATACGAATCAATGCTTTCCTGTCATTTATTGCTCATTTACTGCTTATTACAATTTCTTAAATTTTGTGATAAAATGCTTTACTCCATTTTGCTACTGTCTTAAAAATGGTATATGATATTATGAAAACTTTTAATATTGTTCATTCTATAAAATACATAGTTATTAACTTTCTAGTACTCATGCTAGCACAATAACCCTGGCACATTTTGGCAATATTTAATATACTTTAGGTAAAGTAATACTAGCACAATAACCCTGGCACATTTTGGCAATATTTAATATACTTTAGGTAAAGTGCAGAATCGCCCACTTGTTTGTTTGGCGTTTGCAAGAGTAAGAAGAATTGGATTTCTGTCAATTTTCTTTGACCTTTTTAAGTGAAAATAGGTCTACGTGTACATGGATAAAGGGAGCGTGCAATGCCATTTTTGTGCAATTCTGGAATTTTTTTAAAGTGTAAATCGGTGGATGTGTACATGGATACCAAGTATGTGCAATTCTTACAAACACGCCAAGCAGTGGGTGATTCTGCACTTCCCCCTTTTTTGTTGTTTTTCTTGAAGTCCTGTTTTAGATATATTTGCATATTTTCAGAATTCATTCAAATTCGCAATTATCTAATATGACGGTTTTCTCTAAAATGCGCAAAAACAACCGATTTGCTGACTTGACAATTTTTTGAAAACATGCCAAACTGGACCGTAATATCCAGTTTTACTCCAATCTTGAAGTCAGAAAAGAATCTCCAAAGAAAACAAGGGGCACCCAATTGTAAACTTTTACAGACTTGAGTATTCATGTTTTTCATTTTGTATAATATGAATACTAGAAAATTTTCTTTTGAAATCTCTTCACAAATATTCTTTTCATCAGTTAGATAACTCATGTACATTTACTTTAAAAGGTCGTAACCATAAATATTTACAGTAGCATGTAGGTAATGAGCACAATAGTGATAATTCTTCTTCATCCGAATGAACAGATATCTGTTACTCTTTTAATACAATTCATGGGTTTACTATTGCAAAGAATCCGTTGATGACAGTGTATTTTTACTGTGTTTCCCTTGTTCATTTTGAAATCTTAGTGTTTGTTAATCAAAAATTCATTAAAGTTTTACAGAATATGAAATAGACAATAAAGCAAATTAGAAATTCAAGATTTGGGCTTCTAGTTACCCATATTCAGGTGGAGAACTATGTTATTCAAAATTTGAGTGCCCTAGGTATTATTATCTTTTCACGGTATGAGAAACATGCATACATTCATGCAGATTCTTTATTATTTAATTTCTTTAAATATTATGCAGAGTGATAATATTTGGTGGCAACAATCTAAAAAATAATACATCTGTTTATAGTGATTAGACGCAAAATGCTGTTTCAAAACTAATACTAATCCTCCTGGGCTAATGTCCCTTTCGGCTAGAAACATATGACAGTGGTGGCATTATGTCTTCAAACTGAAGAATTGTTAAGCTCATGACTCCCATACTTTGGCACATTCTGAAAATTTGGCTATTTTTACTTAAGTGGATGTGTTAATACATAATTACTGAATAATGAAGTATCCCATAATTGAACTTTTTTATTTGTGTGTTTATGTAAGGGTAACTTCTCAAAGCAATGATTTTCTAGTACTCATGCTAGCACAATAACCCTGGCACATTTTGGCAATATTTTACGGGCGAAAAAGAATGATGAATTACAATTGCAAAACTTAATACATGCATATTTTATTTTTGAATAATGCACTTTTTGTGAAAACAGTTGATAAGCTAACTTAAAAGTGGGTTTTTAAGTTAGCTTTGTTCTTGTAGAAATTTTGCAGCAATCACTTTAGAAACAAATTCAAAGCAGGTTTTCAGTTTACTGAAAAAAACTGATTTCTTGAAGTAATTTTACTACAGTTTTTTCCATTGCATGCAGATCCCTAATGTGTCAGTTTTAAAATTGAGTTTAATAGCAAAAAATAATAACAATTTCACTCTAAAAACTTGGAATAAAAAGTTTTTGATACTTCTTTGTTATAGTGGCCTCGAGATTAAATGGGCAATCAACTGAGGTATCTCACCAAAATCTGGCTGTGTGTTTTGAAACCTCACCATGTGACTGTATGCTAGCACCAGCTGCATATTCTTATACCTCACGGCATTTCAGTGTATATTAGCACCAGGTTGCATTTTTGCTGTGACCAGGTGTTCGTATATTATTCATTTTTCATGGGGTTTTCAAATAGGCATTCTTTATTTAAAAATATATTTCATTGCTTTTTTTGTGTGTGAATATGATATTATTAGCAGTCTCTAATTTACCAAGTAATGAGATGGGTGTCATATTGTTTCAAGAAAGAGATCTTTTACCTGGCAAACAAGTATGCAAAAATGGCCATAACTAGAAACTTTATGTAAAGGATGAAGGTGCAGTGTTAAAAATTGCAAAAAGAAGAGACTCCATGTTAGAAATTGGTACTGTAGTTCCACAAAATTGTTCATCTCTGATATTAAATGGTGTAACAAATGTATGAAAATGCTGCAGTTGACTGGAACAATTACATACGATAAAATAAGAATAATAATAATAAGGATTCTTAAAAATATTCTGCGGCAATGACATGCGAGTATTATTGTTATTATATACCGTGTTGTTTATTTTTACATTCATGCTTCATGAGCTTGGCAAAATTAAAGCTGAGATCTTGCCGTAAATCAAATCACCAAATACGGTTGTGGGGCCACTATAACAAAGAAGTACCAATTTTTTTTTTTTTAAAGCTGTAATTGCCTGTTAGAATTGAAGAATTGGGTACTTGCGTGTTATCGCAAACACCATAGTAGAAGTCACCAAATTTTTAGATTCTGCCACACTCTCTAAACCATGCATATAACCAGTCTTCAGGTAACCATTCTTATTACAATCCTTCAGTCAAGCAGCATCACCATTTATTTATGTATTCTACATTTTTTTTAATTGTAAATTCAAGTGGTTTTTATAAACAAACCATGATATTTTTTTGCTTTATTTATTTATTTATTTATTTTTTAATATGCACTTGTAGAATTTATCAGCCATAGAAGAAACTTCAGTAAAGTTTCTGTAGTAATACCGAATTTTTCTGCAAAGTCTTTACAGGGAACAATAAAGAGATGTATTTGGTAGATAGCTGGTGTTGCTGAGGTTTTGCATGATGAGTCTGTAATTATCTGATTTTTTTTTTTTTTTTTTAAGCAAAAAAGCAAATTGCTGTATACTTGGAAAAAGAATATTTAAAAAAGTTACAGAAAGAGATTTGGAGATGAATATTTTTTTTTTAATTTATCCCAAAATAACAATAAAAATTCGTATTTAAAATTGCTAAAATATGTTGACTTTTCATACATTAATAATGTTTCTCAGCTTAGATAAATACTGATAGTTTGGGATTCTTTAAAAAAAATTGTGGAAATCATCAACTTGTACAGGATAAGTAGCTTGTACATTTTCATCTGTAAAAAATTGCCAAATTGCACCAAGGTGGTTGTGTTAATATGTAAGTATCAAGAATTGTTATGCCCATTGTTGCCACAGTTTGGAGCATTCTGAGAATTTAGAAACTACTAAGGTGGTTGTGCTAATATGTAAGTATCCATTTTCCTGTGACAGATATTTCTGACATGTTATTAGGTAACAGTACTGAACATCATTGATTTTTTTTTTTTTTTTTTTTTTTGTAATTGCCATAGTTTATAGCATAGTAATTTTACCTATAAATTGTGGATGTTTCCTTTATAAAATGCCCATTGTACTTAAGCTGCGTTTAAACTGATCTGTTGAGGCGTCGAAGCGTAAGAAAACGCTTTCCGCATAATCCAGTTCATACCAGTGCGGCAACTTTCGCTTGTTGTCATATGCTCGCACTAGATGGCACTTCATATCGGAAACTTAGGGAAAAACGTGAAATTTTTGTGTGGTATTTTGACTTTTACGATTACATTTTTTAATTAAAATGGATTTAATTTCTGCTCAATTAAAACTTATTTTACTTCTTGCTTTGTGCAAGAGAAGCAGAATGCAGTGGTTTGTACAGTACAAAGTCAGTAATCCGGACGTCCATTATCCGGAATAATCTATAATCTGGACCTCAGAGCCACAAACTTTACACATGCGCGTAAAGAATGCTCATACGTTATGCATGCACGTAAATTTCTGCATGCCATCTTACCAGATTTAAATTGATGTTCTATAATCCAGAATTGCTGAAGTCCCGACAAGTCCGTATTACAGACTTTGTACTGTATTAATTTCTGAGAGATGACTGCAGTAAGGAAATGCAAATAATTTAAATGAAGAAATACGTTTGAATTGGCTAATGCTCATGCAAAAGTTTAAACATTATTTTTTTTATATCTAGTTCATATTAGGATATGCAGAGTAATCTTTATCATGGATAATATTAAGCAGTACTACACAACAGTTTTCAGTGTTGTATATTCTTCATGTGGTTATTATCTTGCTGCTGGCAGTAACTATGGGACCATAGCCATATTCAAGTAAGCATGTGATATTTAGTTATATATTTAAAATATTATTTTCTTAAAATGTAAGTTCTTTCTCTATTGCTAGTTTCTATTTTCCTTCCTTGTATTATAAATAAAATTTAAGATCATACATAGGTAACAACAGTTTTTTCCCTCCTTTAAAATCTAAACTTTTTAAATTTTGTGTATGAATAGGAAAGTCTGCCATTTGTTTGAATATGTCTATGAAATCATAAGAACTCTGTTTCTGTAGTGATATAAATTAAATTTAGTACATGGACAAACTTAGATATCCAGCATTGTTTATATAATGGCATAAATTAAATTTAATAAAGGATCTCACAACAGTCCTGTATATTTTGTGATGAATATTATGTTTTCCAACCTTTTCTTTGCTGCACACCTGTTCAGTACAAAATACAGTACAAAGTCTGTAATCCGGAGTCGTCGGGACTTCGGTGATTCCGGATTATAGATCATCAATTTAAATCTGATAAGATGGCATGCAGAAATTATACAATTAAAAATATGAAACCGTAATTTATGAAATAAAGAGCAATTATGATCTAAAGGGTATCAAAATTTAGAAAAAAAAAAAAAAAAAGCAAGCTTACTATTTATTTGTTTACTTTATTAAACATTTCCTTCAGTGTAAGTTGTTTAAGTTGCTTCATTTTTTGTGCTAATACTTTCTCTTTAATTCTATAAACAGGCATAATTTGTTCAGTTACAAAGTTCCACTGTTCAAGTCCTGTAATTGCTGTGTTGAGAATACTGATTAACTTGTCAATCAAAATTTTTTCGTTTCAATAACATCTCTGTCCCTTTCTTCACTATCGGTAGCGATATTTTCTACATCTAGAGCCATACGACAGATTTCGCCGTCCGTTAATTGATTGATGTTTAGGGCATTGTTGTCACAATGCAAAATTTCTGTTGTATCATCTTCATTTATTACCGCTTCTCCACATTTCTTTACAAAATCCAATAATTGGAAATTTTCACCTTTAGAAACCTCCAAAAACCTTCAAATTCATGGCTATCATCTTTATCATCCTCACCATGAAATATGGTAGCTGGCCATAAATTATGCCAAGCATTTTTTAACGTATATGGAGGCATATCCTCCCACAATGTTGCGATGTTCCACTCAGCAGATTTTATGCTAAAAAATTTCAAAAAGTCTTCAATAGTCTTGCCATTGTCAAGAAATTTAACATAGATTTTAAAAATGCTACTTTATATTTGCATTTCAGCACATGTACTATTCCCATATCCATAGGCTGAATGATAGGCATACAGTTTGGAGGGAAGAATAATACAGATACATTATCTTTCACTAAAACTTTAAGTGAAGTATGCGCCAAACAGTTGTTAACAATCAGTACTATTTTTCAGTTATCAGGTAAACCAACCGAATTCAAATGTCGCGAAGCCTCGGGTATAAAATGATTTTCAAACCAATCATACTTGTATCATCCATGCTCTTTTATTTGTGTAGTATATAATGGGGAAATTCGTTACTCCTTTAAATGTTCAAGTTTGTGCATGTTTCCCGATTACGAAAAGTTTGCACTTGTACAATCCTGCAGCATTTGTTCACACTAAAATTGTCAATCTCGCTTTGGAATCTTTGACATCAGTTGGAGCCTTCTTTTCTGCTTCAGTATCAGCTGAAGCTTTTTCACCTGAAATTTTTAATTGCTTTATACCATGGCGATTTTAAAATTGGTTAACCGACCTGTCAAATATGTGCACTCAGTGCTTAAGTTCATTTCTTCATGAAATATGTTGGCTTGAGCCATTAGCATTGGACCCATTAATGGCATGCCCTCGCTGCGACGCTGTCTGACCCATTCAATCATCACTTTGTAATGATCGTCACTTTTAGCATAATCGTTTTTCTGTTATTGATTGCAAGTCGGGTGTTGGAATCCACAAAAAATTCAAAACGTACCTTTTTCTTTTTGCTTATGACATATACACTTTCCAATGTCATACTCCTCACATAATTTTGAGATGGATATGCCTTTATCTGTTTTTTTTGAAACAATTCCACTTTTTGTTTAATGGACATCGAAACATGCTTTTGCTTTGTAGATCCTTTGGCAGCTCCAGAATTGGAAACTCTTTTTGACATAATTGAAAGTTCATGCTTAATTTTTATAAATTTGCTCTAGCAGTATGCAAAAAATAATAAGCTGGATCCAATTAGAAGATTAAGGAACAGCGCAATCTGCAACATTAACTGAAATAATGCCTTAGAATCAGTAAAGATAATTTTAGGCTATCTTATACCATCTGTTATATATTAAACGCGCATGCGTTAAGCATGCAAAAAAAAAAAAAAAGTTTGTGGCTTTGAGGTCCGGATTATAGATCATTCCGGATAATGGACGTCCGGATTATGGACTTTGTACTGTATTGCATTATGAAAAAAGTAAATCTTCAGAAAATGCTTTTAATTTTTTCAAAAGTAAATTTCGACATGCTGTTCAGGATTAATTAAGAATTTAATAGTATTTTATCAGAAGCATTAAAGTGATCACTCATTATAAATACCATATAGTTAACAATGGCTATTCCATTCTTAGAAAATAGTGAAATTATAAATATGACTTGGACATGGGAGTTTAGAAATTTCATAATTAAGATTTTTAATTGTTGAAATCGTGCATTATGCTGTGAAATTAATTAAATAATTGGGATAATAATTAAATCAGGAATGGTGGCCAACTTGGTTATAGTCAAATAAATATGATGGATAGTATTGATTATGTTCTTTGTGTTAGATTGTGGACCATCATTTCTGATTTAATTATTATCTCTTGATTTTATATATACAACATATATATATATTATATGTATACTGATACAAAAAGAATTTTTAATAATAGTTTTGAGTAATTAAATTTCTCATTTTTTTTTAAACCTTGAAGTTACTTACTTTTTTACTTTTTTTTTAATGGGAGTAACAAACCTGTAAACCCTATTTGCAATGTCCTAGGCAAGGTGTTGCCCTTTTTATGAAGATAGTTTTCTTTAACTTCAAAATTCATCTTCGTCAGAGTATTGGGGCTTTACGAAAGTTTCCATCTTGGCGAACAGTGGCTGGCTTGCATAAAAATTGTTGGCCCATTTTATTTTCATCAGAGAAATATTGAGATCTTTTTGCTCTCATTCAAAAACTTATTAATCATTCTTTATTTAACAGTTTATCTCCTTTGATGGAAGATGATGAAGATTTTCAGGCTGATCCATCTCAAAAATATCCTATTTTTAAATTTGCTGGTAAGTAATTAGTTTTTCCCTTCATACATGATGAAATGGAAAAAATATGAAAATAAAGTATAATGAAAGTTTATTTTAATTAAAAACATTGACTACTTTTTGCTATCTTTTTGAGAGGTACAACAAAACTAATCATTTCAATTTTATGATTTCTTTAGTTTTGAAACAAACCATGAATACATAAACAGAATTTGATTTAAAAAATTAAAGTTTGTAATAATTTTTAAATTGATGGTAATTGAAATGATAACCATGATTGGCTTATATTCTTTGTGGCAAGGAAGGAAAATCATTTACAGTAAGAAAAATATAACAAAGTTATAAGATACTAATTTAAAAGTCGAATAACAAAAATTAGCGTTATATTTTAAAATTTTCACAGGACTAGTTTCGATGGTTTTACCGACCCATCATCCTCAGCTGCAAAAGTGCAAATGAATGAGATAAGATATAATGATCACTATATCTTATGTTATTATGAGGAATTCTGTAAAGAAAGCTACACTTAAAAGAATTTCTATAAAGAAATGCTTTCTGAATTAACTACTACTCTCACAAGATTTCATTCTATTAAATTTTTTGTTATTCTTGAAAGAGTTGGTGTAATTAAGATCCCAGAATGCTATAAAAGCCAGAAAACTTATGATTTGTTTAAGATAACATTAGGCAGAGGAACAGCTTTATTCTTGTGTCAATCATTTCTTGCTTTTATTCTTGTGCTTTCTGAATTAACTACTACTCTCACAAGATTTCATTCTATTAAATTTATTGTTATTCTTGAAAGAGTTGGTGTAAGTAAGATCCCAGAATGCTATAAAAGCCAGAAAACTTATGATTTGTTTAAGATAACATTAGGCAGAGGAACAGCTTTTATTCTTGTGTCAATATCCCAAATTTCAGGGGCATCATCAATGGTTAACATCACCTTCAAATGTTCTGTTCTTTTCATTATTATTTGGCTGTTCTAGTACTTAAAATGGATATCAACACAACTGCCTGAGCAACAATTAAAAAAAAAAAAAAAAAAGCGTGTTATCTTCTAATATAATATATTAGAAGTAATTCTAATAAATCTTCTAATACTAATATGCTGAAAAATATAATAATTAACAAATATAGCTAAAATCACAAAGCAGGAGATGAAATGAGACTTTATAAAAAAGTATGTAAGTCAAGATGGAAGGTAACTTCTCTCATAGGCTGCATAAAGGTAGCTTATCACATTTGTACAAAATATTTTAAATATTACAATGCCTGGCCATTTACAAGCATATAAAGTAAGTTGGATCAGAGTATAAGTTGGGATTTTACTGAGCACAGTATGCACTATAAGTTTAATAGTTTCTTTAAATAGTATGTAGATTTTATTATTCTCCTTCTTTATTTCTTTATTTTGTGATTATCTGCATCACTAGTTTCAACATATTTTAGAACTGCTGTATTTGCATACTTTTAAGTAAACATGCAACAATAACCAACTAATATATGCAAGTACAACTCACATGCTAGAATACACATGGATTTGCACTCTAACTGTCATTTCACTGAACAGTATCCACTAGCTGTAAAAATGTAAATATTGGCTATACAAATTATTGTTTCTTCTCATACTTTTTTTTAAAAAAATGCTTCTTTTTATTATTATTTATGATCAGAACGTTATCTAGGACTCTTAGAGATAGTCAAACAAATTTTTCATTATTTATGTATAATCTCCTGTTGACCATGAAAGATGGCTGCCATTGGCAAGATCCTATCAAAGTTGTTGCAGTTGTTCTTGAGCAATTCCGTGCTTTATGTAACCGTGATGGATGGAAGTTGAAAGGAATCGTCCCACAGGACATGGGTTTTGCATCGCTAAGCCTAACTTTAGAAAAAAAATCACAAAAAAAAGTTTAAGTTCTCATGCATAAATTTTGGTATTCTTTTAGATTATTACTTGAGCTATCATATATGTTAAAATGAGCATTTAATATAGTCAAAAGTCGTTAATTCGGACATCCATAATCCGGAATGATCTATAATCCGGACCTCAAAGCTACAAAGCGTCATGTTGACGCATGCACGTAAGACCTTTACTAAGGTAAAATTATAAGCTAAGCTAAAATTATCTAATTCAGTTAATGTTGAAGATTGCGTTGTTCCTTAATCTTCAAATTGGATCCAGCTTATTATGTTTTGCAGACTGTTAGAGCAATTTTATAAAAGTAAGCTGAACTTTCAATTATGTCAAATAGAATTTCCGATATATATTTACTAATATGTAGAGGATCTACAAAGCGAAAGTATGTTTCGAAGTCCATTAAACAAAAAGTGGAATTGCTGGCAAAAAATGGATAAAGGCATATACTTTGTTTCTCTAACCATTCCGAAATCTGTTATCAATTTCACGCTGCTCTGGCGGCGGGAAGGGGGGGGACACCCGCGCGCGCAATTATTGGAAGTTTTGATCTGTCAGCACTATCCTTATCTTCAGGGAGTTTTTTTTATATTATTTGGCTTATAATTCCTTACTAAATGTAGTTTTCTCAAAGTACATGGTTTGGATATTTTAAATCAAATTCGGCATTAAATTGCTTCCGATAGTAAAGAAAGTGACACGAGGTTATTGAAAACGAAAAATTTTCGATTGACAAATTAGTCGGTATTCTCGACACACAATTATAGGACTTCAACGCGCGAACTTTGTAACTGAAGAAGAAATTATGTCTGGTTAGAATTAAGAGAAAGTATTTCACATAAACGAAGCAACTTAAACACTACATTGAAAGAATGTTTAATAAAGTAAAACAATAAATATACCCCTTTTTTTTTTGAAAGTTTGATACCCTTTAGATCATAATTGTTCTTTATTTCATAAATTATGGTTTCATATTTTTAATTTTATAATTTCTGCATGCTTACCAGATTTAAACTGATGATCTATAATCCGGAATTGCCGAAGTTCTGACGAGTCCAGATTAATGACTTTTGACTATAGTGTTTTTCCTTTACATTACATGAAAATATGCAAAACAAATTGTTTACTTTGACAAATATTTTTTGTAAGTGCTGTTCAAATTATTCCGAAGTTTTAACTGACAGAATATATTAATAAACTTTAAAATTTAAAAAAAGAATACTAGAAAGACTATTTACAAGAAGTAACATAATCTTTCACGGGATGAAGGTAATACTCAGTCTCTGATAAAGTGTCCGTATAAGAATCACTAGAAATATAGCTAACTTTTTAGAAAATTAATCATCACTCTTATCCATGTCATTAATTGGCTCATTTATCATGCAAGTATATCCTTTCTCTGATAAATAATGCTTTCTCGCCATAATAAACTGAAGTCAAGACTTTCGGAAATAAAAAGGGAAATATATGAAATATGAACAGTAAAAGCAATGCAAAGTGTAATAGAACCCCATATAGCAATCCTAAAAGACCCTACGTAGTAGCGAAAAAAGATTCGAAGGGCTACCAGAAATGTGAATGCATATATCACATGGTGAGTTAAAGAGCCCAGCAGCTCTCTTTGTTTACATTACGCTTTGCTTCCTCCCCACGCAACAGCTGACTCCAATGCTATGCAAAATGTGATCAAGCTGATGGTCAGAATCCTAAAACTATATTGAGTTCAAAAGTAATGGACACAAGATGCCATTCTAGGGGTCTTTAAAACATGTTTCAGATTAAAATGCATATGTGCATTTACCATCCCTTGCGTTATCTGTCCAGTGATGCATGGGTGGTATGCCCAGCTGCGAGATGTCAGTAGAGAATATGTATATGGGATGCTCATCCTAAAAGGGTTAATAAATAATCAGTATTTGACTGACTTTCATAAAAAGGCTTTTGCCCATTTCTACTAATTTTCTAGGCCCTCATCTTACTGGAAGTTCTGTTTAGAATGCTATGTAGAAAAAGAGATAGAGGACGCTGCGCCAGCCGTACTTTTAGCTACGTTTCGGCAGAGAGAGTATGTTAACTAGAGTTTCGGCAGAGAGAGTTGAGAGAATGGTTGAGTGTGGTATGAAACTAGCTATCGTGTAATCTGTATATAATACTTATACATAGTTATTGATTGATTTAGTAGATTTAGTTTAAAGAAGTGTTTTTATTTACCACAATACAACATCAAGAACCATCGATGTGAGTATGGAATTAGGTGTTTTTATTCCACATGCTATGTGCACAAACTTCTTGGCAAGAAATTGTTCCAATCCATTGCTGCCTTTTCAGTTATATTGAGCTAACTATAGCATGTCCATTATACTCATGCTTTTTTTTATGGTAGAATTACATAAGTATGAAAATAATCTGCTGCTTGCTGTTCTGTTAAAAGCTGGTCCTAAATTTTAATCTTTTTCGCCCTGCCCTCTGAAAAAAGCAAGGAAAAAAATACTTCAGTAATACATAATCTGTTAATTTATATCCTTGTTCATAAAAACAAAAGGAGGATTATCAAAAATCAATTAGGGTTATATCAAATGGAAGCTCATATTATGAATGTGCTGTTAGGTCATGCTTATCCATAGCTTGTGCTAAATTATGCTGCTTGGTGACAGTTATGTGGTCAGCAAGATAATGCATAAATATCCTTTTTTCACCAATAATAAAGTCACCAATAAGTTGGTCACTTTTTTTAAGGGTGTGGGTAATCACAAGTTATTATTTTTATTAAGAAACTACTAAATTTACATTTTTAAGATTATTGTCAGTATAAATGTCATTGCAATAATTTTACTTTTTTCAATTTTGTTTTTCATTTTTATGGAATTTCTGATGTATATTTTCTTATTTTAGCCCATTCTAGTCCGATTTATTCTTTGGTATCTTCAAAGCAACTTATTATAAGGTAAAATTTAAATCATTTGTATTTTGTATTAAAAATTTTTATAGGTAATTAGTTGATATAATATTTAGCATAATTGATTTCATGAATCAGTTATGCTAAACAAGCTGTGCCTTTGTGAATTGCATTTATAATTTATTAAATGTTAACTCTTAAGTTAATTTTCTTCCTGAAGTTCTACATGCAGTGTGTATTTTGATAGTTTAGGGATCTTATTTTTGTTTTATCTAGCACAGGGATGTCAAACTCATAGGTACACTTGGGCCAAACAAACAAGGTTTAACTTTAGGGGGGCCGAAAAAAAAAATCAATATTCATAGAAACGTAGATTTATTTCGAATAATACAATAATAAACATATATATATATTTATATAGAAAAGAACAAGAAAAATTTAATGTTTACGTTCTGATACTTGACATCTCTTCTCTGCTATTATCTTTCCTATTTCGGAAGAAATTTTGTTTGCAGTGATAACTTTCAACGCTGACCCAAGGTGAGCATCATTAATACGGTTTCTAATAGGAGACTTATTACCACCTTTCATGACTGAAAATAATTGCTTGCACCGATAAGTGCTACCAAACATGGAAATAATTTCATATGTGAATTTTCGAGTATTTTCAAACCTGGCTAGTAAATATTTGTAAAATTCAGGCACGCCCACTTCAATGAATTTTGCTTTCAAATTTGAGTTGCATTGAATCTCGATCACCTCCATTTGCATATGGCTGGGTACTGATTCAATACTTATTGAGAAAAATTGAAGAAAACAAAAAAAAATTTGTCTTCGAGGAAACTAAAATCATTAAACCTCGTTTCAAATTCAGTTGTTAAATTTTGCAATTTTTTTCTGCGTATTTTTGATACGAACAAGTATCATCTAAACTTGATTGTTCATGCTGCACGTCGGGAAGTGCGTCAAATCTTCATCATTAAGGTGGTTTTTTTTTCCCAAAGAACTAGTTGACATTTGAATGCTTTAATTATGTCAAACATGTTCGTAATGATATGATCTTTTCCTTGTAACAATAAATTTAATCGGTTAATGTTTGGTTATATCAACCAGAAAGATAAATCTTGTATCCATATTGGATCGTAAAACAAACTTATGTCTTGATTTTTCGTTTTTAAAAACTGACATATTTCTTTTTTCAAATCCCAGAATTGTTTGAGAATCTTGGAGCAAAATAACCAATGTACCTCGGTATAGTAGGACAAACCCGAATATTCACTATCTAACTCACTTAAGAAAGCAGTGAATTGACGCTGATTTAAACCTCGAGATCTTACAAAATTTATAACTTTTTTTATATATGACAAAACATTCTCCATATTTATTACTTTCGTGCATAGAACTTCTTGATGTATAATACAATGCATATGATGAATGTTTGAACCGAGAATTTCACTAAGTTTTTTTTTTAGTAATGCTACGAAGCCCTTGTTTTTCCCAGTCATTGATGGAGCACCATCTGTAGCTACAGAATTTAATTTTACCAAAGGTAGATTGTATTTTTGCAGAAGTCCAAAAACACAAGTAAATATATCTTCTCCTGTGGTAGTACCAGGCATCGGTATTAGTTCCAGTAATTCCTCAAAAATGTTAAAATTCTTGTCACAAGAACGAAGAAACACTTCTAATTGAGCTTTGCCACTAATGTCCATGCTCTCATCACAGGCAATGGAGAAACTTTCGAAACTAGATGATTTTGCTTTGATCACTTAAATTCGCGGCTAAATCAGTAACTCTTTCCGCAACTGTATTTCGAGACAGTGAAATTGATTGAAAAGCCTTCACATTTCCAGGACAAACAATTTCATTAGGCATTCCTTGATGAAATCACCGTCAGTAAAAGGCTTCGAATGTTTAGCTATCAACTCAGACAAGACGTAGCATGCATGTAACCGCCGCTTACCGCCACTTCACTTTTCTTCAATACTTTACTAAACATGGACTGTTGCTTTTTCACTCCTAACCTGAGCTCTTTCAACTTTTCTTCTCTCATTAATCCTTCATAATTGTTATATTTCGATTTGTGTTGTTCGTAATGACGTTTAATACTATATAACTTTGGTACATTAATAGTATTATTACATATCAAGCAGATTATTTTATCTTTTATTTCACAGCAAAAATATTCTAATTCTCATTTTACTTGGAATATTCTATGTTCGTCAGCGATTTTTCGTTTAATTTTACTAACACTTGGTTTTGATATAGACATACTGAATACAAAGGGCTGGAATAAACAGGGTTAACGTTAAAAAGTTAACAAAAATTTATTCTTTCCACAAGAGATAAATCAAAATGCTGAAATATTTCTTCAAAATATTCTAATATATCACCAAATGTCAAACGTTTAGCAAAAATCAATTCAAAACAGAGAAACTAATTCTATTTCACAGCGAAATCGCTACAAATCAATCACAGCATTAAGTAAACAAACAGTTCGCTAGAACTACAGCTACTACTGAGATGAGTTGTTTGTTCTCTCGACTTTTTATAAGCTTTATAATTAATTTCTCGAATATACTGGAAACATCTATAAATATCTGGATTTTTGTGGATGGCAACAGCAATTACGAGATATTTATTTATTAGGTATTAAATGCACGCGCTGTTCTATTTTTAACCTTCCAACGCAGCTGTCTTTTCAAAAATTGCATGCGTTGTTAAGGCAACATGAAGCAAATCTAATTACAATTCTAAATAAAAAAAACTAAATAAATAAATAACTGTGAAATCTGTAACAATATGAATTAAGTAATAATTAATAATAAAGCAAAGTGCATGCACATGCATGCACCAATATATTATACAAAACTATGATTGGAAAACTGAGACCATGAGTTCGGCTATCGGGGCATGCGTACAAGTTCTGAGTGCAGGTCTCCCCCAAAAGCCGAAGGTTGCTGAACGTAAGCTACTCACACGCATTTGTAATTTAAGTAGTGTGTGTGTCAGCTCGCTGTGAGTAATCTAACAACACTAAATAAATTATCGTTAATTACTTAGCAGTAAACATTAAATTTTTTTTCTTCGTTGATATGTTATTTTATTATTATATATTATTATTTGCCGATATATTGGCCGGGCCGCAAAAATATTTGTTGTGGGCCGCGAATTTGACAACCTTGATCTAGCATTTAATTAACTGGAAAGCTCAAATAACTGAAATAGTTTAATATTTTAGGTTTTTTGTATATTTAATTTTGTTGTTGTTGTTTGTTAACTAATTATGTAATGTTTAACATAATGGATTTCACAAATTAATTAGCTTCACATGTTTTTAAATTTTTGTGTAGTAGTATAAGATGCAAATAAAAATATTTAAATAACGTATTGTTTTATATTTTAATATTATTGGATAATACAGATTATATTTGTCTTCTAGGTTAATGTAAGAAATAAAAGCTGGGGTAATATAATAGATATAAAACTAAAATATAGAAAATATATTTAAAATAATTTAATTACTCCCTGTATTAATGCCTGTATTTTAAAGAATTTATTTATTCTTTACAGTAATTTTTGATCGAAGTACAGTAACCACAACCAAGTACTTTACTCATTGGGTACCTTACTTATATAATATTACTATTTTTTGCATTATTAGAAGTTGATGCTATGGAACAGGTGTTAAGGAAATGCAGCATACTAGCTAAGCAAACAATCAACTTTATAGAGTCATTTATCAGGAGTAAAACTGTCGTATATGACTCCATGCTCCTTTGCACATAGCTTGCGATGCCAGACCATGGATTCACAACAAAAGGTTTCATTGACCTCCTTTAATTTTTTTATAATATACAGTATAATATACTGTAATACTTTTATAATATACCGTCTAAAATAAAAAAAAAAAAAAAAAAAGGAAATTTGTGGAGATCCTAAACATAACAAAGAATGTTTGGAATTGATTGCATTGAAATAGATGAATCATTATCAAAAGTAGAAAAAATAGAAGAAGAGTGGTACAAAACAATGCATGTATTAAATCATATCTACGAAAGTTCTTATGATATCCATGACCATTCCCCAGCTGATGCTGAGTGGTAAAATATCTGAATATTGGTAATTCAATCCAGCTTCAAATCCTGATGAATGGGCTGGCTGCATGGGAGTTTTTGTAGTTTTTCCTTGCATGTAATATGATATAACCAGTTTCCATTAAAAAGTCCTCCATTAAGGTATTCCTTCCTTTAGTTAGATAGCTCTCATGTGCTTTACTGGAATCTAAATAATCCAGTTCTTCCTAGAGCATTCCTGGTGCAATTAATGAGATTTATATCAAGCAGCCTGACGTTGCGGCACGCAATGAACTGAAAGTTGATCTGTCAGCACTATCCTTATCTTCAGGGCAGGTGTTTTTATTTCATTCGGCTTATGATTCCTTACTAAATGTAGTATTTCATCTCGATGTACTCCGTTTTTGATATGATTTAAATCAAATTCCACGTCATTATAAATATCACGAATACACATCAAATAGTTTTCTGGTTGCAATTTTCTAATTTCGACTATGCGTAATGTATGCTTTACGCATGCGCGCGTTGAGAGAAATGCTTAATAAAGTAAACAAATAAATATAAAGCTTTTTTTTTTCGGGGGGGGGGTAAATTTTGATACCCTTTAGATCATAATTGCACTTTATTTTATAAATTACGGTTTCATATTTTTAATTTAATTTCTGCATGCAATCTTACCAGATTTAAATTGATGATCTATAATCCGAAAAAACTGATAATCCAGAATCACTGAAGTCCCAACGAGTTCAGATTAAAGACTTTTGACTGTATATGTTTTGTACTTGTTATGGAATCTACTTTGACATCTATAGATTTAGAAAGATTCTGAAACTGAATTTCAGTTTATAGGAATACCAAAAATAGCAAAATAACGTAATTCTTTAGAAAGAATAGATGACAAAATTCAATTTAAAAGAAAATTGAATTGTAAAATTTATTCACCTAACAGTCAAAACAGTCTATTAAAAATGGAGCATTTTTTTCTTTTTTATGCTGCAATAATCTAGGTATGTTATGCAGTTCATGGCAAATCTAGAAATGGCACGTTTTTTTTTTTTTTTTAATCATGCAAGGTTAAATGTACTACAAATGGGATTAGTTTAAAATATGATCTTGATCTTAAAAATGGTATATTCTTAACAGGGTTGGCAAATTCTTCTATGGTAAAGAAAATCAATTGGAAGAATTTTTTTCTTTTTTAAAAAATATAAAACACTGCTATATATTAATCAGTTTAAATATTTTCATTATATATTTATTTAGCCTTGTTTATATGCTTGCTCTAACATTTGATAATCTGCGTGTGTATTTATATATATGTGTGTGTTGTGTAACAGTATTTAATACATTTCAAAAGGCATCAGTAAAGTAGGGTTAAGGATGAAAATTTGAATTAGCATTATATCTTATAACAAAATATGACAAATTTGCTGTTATTTAATTTTACAAGTTTATCTATTACATTATTTATAACTTTAAGAGGTTCATTTTTAAATAAAACTTTACCAAATCAGATGAATTCTAAGATTCCTTATTTTATAAAACAACACAAGTTACTATATTTATTAACTAAATGCATAAGACTTAAGTGTGTTCATTGTTATTGGTTTTTTAATGGAAAAGTTAGATACCAGCTCAAAGCAAATATTTTTATTTTAAGTGGAAGTGTTGGTGAAATAAAAGCTTGGAAATGGTCGGATGTAAAAAGAAGGGAGGCAAAATGTCTTTGGACTTTCACCATTCCTCAGGGGTAAATTTTTTTAATTAACAAATTAATATTGATGTTTGTTTTGCTCTAATTCATGTAGAAATATAAATTTTTCTGAAATGTAGTTACTTTCTACACTGATAATTGATAGCTTGTTCGTTAAATTATGTGTTTGTTAATTCTCTGGGTTTTTTTTTATATAGTATATATTCACAAACACTTCCTGTCAATTCCTAATTAAATATATGATTGAGAAAGTTATATTTATGTATGATCTCATAAGCTGATACTTTTTGTACTTGTGCAGACTGTTATAATTGTAAAACAATTATGGTACATTCTAATTATCCACACTCTTCACTAAAAAGTCATCAGTTTGTTGCTGACTTTGCAGAGCATTTGGGAACTTGTTGCCAAATTTTTGTCAAGCTAATGCACAAAAGGCAACAGCCATTTTTAAAATGGTGTTGCACTGAGAATTCTGTACTAGAGCTGTCAATCAATAAAGTTAGAGAAAATCAGTAGTAACAGAGCTGTAGCAAGGCATTTCAGTGCTTGTGGACAACTGAAGATTTTGTGCCCCTTTCCATGTGCCAAGAATGGAAAAAGTTTCCTTATTAAATTCCTTAACATCAGTTTCGTGCTCAATAGATGCTTCGCCCGGGGACATCTGTCTCCCCTAGCCCACCCTAGCCACACCACTGAGTAATAAAATAGTTTTTTTCGAGGAAACCTTCATTTTTGCACTGTTGTTCTCCTGTTTGCTTAGCAATTTGTTTTAACTTAAAATACCATTAGAGAACTGCACAAACTCTACATCCATGTTACTTTAGCATTACACACTAGCTGAAACAGATATGTGCTATATGCCCCATTAATACATTTTGATGACATTGTCAGTTGCTGCATAACTATTCTTTGGACATACTGCTGTGCCTCATGAATACATTTTTGTGGCTTTTCAGTGAGGATGTATATAATCAAAAAGTGCCAAAAATATTGATGACAAAATTTGAGGAAGAACTGTGTTTCAATTCATCTGAATATTATTTGATCAATATATCTTGATCTCTTTTCATATATATAATATTGTAATATTAAAATCGTAGTTTTATTTGTTCTGGCTTAAAAATCTTGTGATTTATCTCCAAGGGAATGTGAAAATGGCCACAAAATTATGACATGTGGTGTGAATGTGAAAATGGTCACAAAATTATGATATGTGGTGTTCACCTTTTTACCCTTGCTATAACAAATTAGGACTTGTGTAAAAACTAGTGCTTGCCATTGCAACTGTACAAATACCCACTATACAAATGAAATGATGCTGTTTGCAACATATCCTCTCCTTTTTTTGAATAGCTGTACAGCAACTTTTTGACAACTTTTCGTTTTTTGAGTTGCTATGTAGCTACTCAAAACATTTACTGTGGTTTCTTAAGAGCATGGCCAGAATGAGTCACAGTCTTTGGAAACTTCCTGGAGTTGTCATCATCTGGATCCAGCAGCTGTGCTGAGCATAGAAGGAAGAAACTTCCAAATAATATACTGAACCTCAGTTAATCGATTTATTTCCTCCCAGTTTATTCCTTTTGGGTAATTGTAAGCACCTCTAAAATGTGTACTGTTGTCTTAATACATGATTCTAGGTTGTCCTTGTCTCACTATAAAGTGTATAAATGAGAGTGGGAATGTTTCTGTTGACAGAAATAAAACTGCATGCAAGTGCACAGCTTTGTACAGGGCACATGCAAACAAAACAATCTATACAATACCTAATGATTTTGTCACACCTTTATTTTTATATACAAATTTACAATCTACATTGATTTCCAGTTTCTTAAAATAAAAACACCCTCAAGACATAATCTTCTGAGCCTTTTCAATAAATGTTTCTTGTTTTCTCATATCTGAAACATCTATGACTTAATTGTGTATGTAAAACGGAAAATTTTAATTTTTGAGCAAAATTTTCTAATTCAAATGGAATATGATCCATCAACTGTGAAATTTGGCTCCCAATTGAAATCTGCTTGATGTGACACTAAACTCTACTGTACAATGTCTGTAGATGATTTCATAATTTTCAGAAGGATAGGAAAGTTATAAAAAAATCTCGATGTTCAGGCTCTACAGCCAACTGTGCAAATGCTTTTTCTATATCAGCTAAACGTCCTGTCAGATAATTTCAAAAACTGACAATAACATCAGGAATGAGCTCTGTCTAATCAGGTCGCTTAAATAAAAGAGCATTTAAAAAACATTTTCCACTTTCTATTGCAGATGCGTCAAATTGGGGTCTAAATTTTTTTTTTTTTTTTGTGTGTGTGTTATCACTTTTAATGGCAGGCCAATGAAATGAAAAATTACTACTTTTGGTATCATATGTAACTCTTTCAATAATACCCAATTTCTCACACTCCTGAAATACATGTTGATATTCATTCAAAATTAACTTATTATTTGTGTGCTGACACGTTCTCTAATGATGCTTCCAAGTTAATTTTTTATTGGAAGGCAATGCTCAGCTAATCGAGTTATTTCCAAGTTTTCCAATTTAAAGGCAAGTACAGTTTGTATCTACCACCTGGTAGGGCTTTTAGACTATTTTTAAAAGTCTCTTAATGCCACTGCATACCACTGCATACTTAGTGTTTTTCTTTTTATTCAACAGGTTGGGAACAAAAATTTCAACACTTTCGAACCATCATACTTCACAAATGGATAAGTTATTCATTTGCAAAGCAGATCATTACAAATCAGATCATTATTCTTCTCAGTTTGCGAAGTATTACATTTTCCTATGAAAGCATTTTCTAAGTGAGTATTTAGAAAATATAAGTCACAGTTCAGTTTCACAGACTGCTCTGTAAAAATAGCACTTGCTTGCTAACAATGCTTTGCAAGAAAAAATACAACAGTTCAAGTAAAATTAAAATATTAAATTTCAAGGCAAAGTGCACCTGCAAAATTCAGCTCAGGGTACAAAATTTTCATGAACAATTATGGTTAGCAAAACTAAAGAGAAACAAGTAATACAGTCACTGAAAGGAGTAACAGCAATAAACGGCCAACCATATCTGTCAAAAGCTGTCTTCTGAAGTCAAGAATTCTGTGCTTAAATATACTAATTGATTTGCATTCTAGTGAAAGATGAAAAGAGAATCAAAAGTGAAGGCAAAATAATAAGGCAACTGGCTAATAAACATAAAACCCTAAACAGAGGGCATCACAACTTGATCAAATGAATCGACCACCTTGCCTGTCAGCTGCTTTACTTACTGTAAGTCATGTTAAATACTGAGTAAGAATATATTCTTTTTCATAGGTCTACACACATTGAAAATAGAAAAATTTAGTTATTTAGTAACACACAAGAAAATAGGTCTAAACACATTGCATTTGCTTAAAGCACAGAAAATGATGATCATCTGAAAATCACATACATGTTCTAATGGCACAAGCAAGTTTTCTGTGCCTGAAGTATTAGATTTTACCTGTTTACTTAGCAAAATAAATGAAGCATGACTTCCTCAGTAAACAAGAGTGTCCATAAAATCAGCCACTTGCAGACCTACACTGCAATCTCTCCATTTTGACTTCTCGGAAGTTTTCAGTGCTTGTGCTATGCCAAATTTATAAGACTTGAACTTTGTGCAGCAGGTTTACTCTTCTATTAGCATGATGCATGGACTTGCTGGAGCTTTGTAGCTAAATTGCATGAATATTTTCAGCCATTTCATTTTTTACTTGTATTTGGTTGTTGATCGGGATGTCCCAAGCTATCATCTGTTTAAAGTGTTTCATTCACTTTGTGATGTTATGACATAGAGATACTTCTTTAACAAATTTGATCCATAAATGTCTTTGAACAATGATTACTAATGGAGATGTTTTAATGTCACAGTAAGAATTTTTCTTTCACTAAAGTCTCCATTTTAAATACCATTGCCTTTAGTGAGTTTTTTGGTGTCAAATGTTCATTTTGATTTAGAAATGAGCTAGTCTTTTATTTTATAACTGCATCAGTAAATTGTACGAGTTACAGAAGTCATAAGTATGTTTTCTTCTTTTACAGTTCATCTTCAATTATATCAACATTCAATTATTTCATCTATATCTGTAATATGTTTTTTGTTAAACACATAACTCCAAATTTGCTTTATTTTCTAACTTTTAATATTGAAAAATCTATTTATATTTTGGTGTTATTCAGCAAGACTGAGATGCATAATCAGCAAATTGTAATGCCAATATCCGTAGGTCGTTTAAAAACTATTTAAACGTTTAAAACAATCAGCAGCACTAAACGTATATAAATATATTTATATATATATCCACTCTATTACCCGGCTCAGTGATCTCAGTTTCTTTACTCATATATGTTTGTAAATTGTACATTTTTTGCTTTAAAATGGTTGAATTATGTTGTTTTTATCTTCCGTTTAAGATTTTATGCCTTTAGTAAATCTGGTGCAATATTTTTTAGAATTATCAGCAATTTTAAAGTTGTTTAATTGCCGCTGCCTGTTTTTAATGGCGGCCATTGATGTTTACATTTGAACAGAGACTAGTGGATTTGTTGCCAATCTAGAGAACTTAGCTTCGCAACAACAAGATAATGCATTCATTTATTATTGCCAATTAAATCATGCTTAATTCTTTCTGGAATTTTTCGAGGAAATAAGCGTTTAGATTTACTTCTATTTTTAATATAGATATTTTGAGTTTTTATGTATTTTTTGCCTTCTCGCGAAGTGAGAACTGAATTAATTAAATGAGAAATACTCAATCGTCTGTGAAAAACTGTTTCTTTTTTGTTTTGTTTGCTTTCTTTCTTTTTTATAGTTTCTAGCGTTATTATAGTATTGGAAAGAACATGTGGCAACGATTAAATAATTCTTTAAATGATATACATTTTGTGCATTCGAGATTAATATGAATGAAATATAATACTGTTAAGTAACCTGCGCCAGAGTGTCGCTATGGTAACAAATGAATTTTAAGATGCTTATTCTATTGGTTTTTTGCTTTTTCGCCGAAATAGGTTTATTCAATCTAATAAGTTTAATCAATGTAAGAAAAATGCGTAGAATTTAATATTCCGTATTTTTTTTTTTTTTTTTTTTTTTTTTTATGTAAACTTGTTTGATGACAGTGATATCAAATCTTCCAATTAAGTTTGAGAAATATGCTTCAGCTTCATTATAGGAAGTCCTTGTATTAATCCCTTAAAGGAAGTCATAGTTATATGGAACATGTCCCGTATAAGCAAAACAAGTTGCATATAATTGTGTTATTTGAAACTGAAGCTTTGATTCAAAAGCAAGTGTCTACTTAAGTTATCAAGAGAACAATGTTTTGAACTGACAAGTGTTTCAAATGGAGTTCATAGGCATATTAGGGTATTGTGGCTTTAGAAAACGAAAGCTTATACTTCAAAACTGAATGTTCACTGGCTAAACATCAACAGAATTTCTCACTTCATTGCATGGAATTTGTAGTGAATAGGCAATGGATCATAGTTCAACCTTCCGCAGGGTTACTAGCTTTTGTAAAGGATGTGTAAGGCAATTAAAGAAGCACAATGCTGTAACCAAGCCAGGGCAACTAATGCAACTGCACTTGGGGGCACAATTTAGAGTCAAAAATATTTTAAAGGCAAAAGGTCTTTTGCAAGGCCCTATTAATCTTGAAATAAAATATGTAATGATATTCTTATGATATTTGATTTTTCTAGGACAAGTGATTAAATTTGTGTAATTTTATTTGGTAACAAATAACTTCTGTTCCTTTGTTTGTATATTATTATCTGCATTAGTTTTTTTTTTTTTTTTTTTTTTTTTTTTTTTTTTTTTTTTTTTTTTTCTAGTGAAAATCTAACAAAACCTGAGGGGAATGCCATGGTTCTTAGTAATAAGGTATCTGTTTCTTTGTGTCTTATGAATTCATTTTCTTATTATTAATATAAAAGTTTAAATGGTAATGTACTAAACTAAAGCACATATTAACAGACATTAGTTTTGTAATGCATGAAAATAATTTAAAATGTCAAGATATTTCTTTTTAAAAATTATTATCTAAATGTATATATGGTTATTGTATTTGATTTAAGGAGGAAGAAGGAATTCTTTATGCTGGTTGTGGTGATTCCAAATTATACTGTTTAGATATTGAGACAAGGTCATTAAAGGTAGAGTAATTATTTTCTAAGTTTGATTTACTTTGTATTTAAGTTATTAAACTCACAAATTTCATTTACACAGTCCAGTCACATTAATGTGACCATCT